ACCAAAAGAGGTTAGATAACTTTCTGAAGTTGAACAGTGATTTAGTGGCAGAGCCTCTGGATTGGCCTCCAAACCTCCTAACAGTATAGTCTGGAGCCTTTTCCTCTCTCTGTACATGCTGAGCTTAAGCAAGCTCCTCGAAGATTCCCGAGCTTGGCTTCTAAAAATAGACTATAGCAGGCAGAGGGTATTCTAGACTATCTATAAAGTTTTTTGTTTTGTTTTGTTTTTAAATATATTTTATTGATTTTTTTTTTCAGAGAGGAAGAGAGAGGGATAGAGAGTTAGAAACATCGATGAGAGAGAAACATCAATCAGCTGCCTCCTGCACACCCCCTACTGGGGATGTGCCCACAACCAAGGCACATGCCCTTGACTGGAATTGAACCTGGGACCCTTCAGTCCGCAAGCCGATGCTCTATCCACTGAGCCAAACCGGTCAGGGCTAAAGTTTTATTAGCAACAACATGACTCAAAGAAAAACTGAGTCAGCGTCTCAACTTTCCAGTTCTAAGAGCAAGTGTAGAAGATATGACTGTGTGGTCCTTATCCTCTCTAAGCCTCAGTTTCCTCATCAGCAAAATTAGAGCAATAATAGCACCTGCCCTGACATGATACCTGTTTTTCTCTTTAGGCAGTTGTGGTAGCTGGTATTATTATTCCAACCATTTGCTGAGCTTCTCATCTCTGCCCATTGCATTGAGACTGGCAGTGCCTCTCTGGGAAGGGAGGGGGGAGGGCACCTCATTGCCCGTTTGGTGTCAGCCTAGGTCTGTGGTCGGCAAACTGCGGCTCACGAGCCACATGCGGCTCTTTGACCCCTTGAGTGTGGCTCTTCCACGAAATACCACGTGCGGGCTCGCATACAGTGCGATTGAAACTTCGTGGCCCATGTGCAGAAGTCGGTTTCCGGCCTGGGCGAGTCTATTTTGAAGAAGTACTGTTGATATTTGGCTCTGGTGGGGTAATGAGTTTGCCAACCACTGACCTAGTCGGCAAACTCATTACTCAACACACAAAATATCAACATTCCACCCATTAAATTTTCTTTTAAAACCAAATTTTTTAAACTTAAATATAT